GGTGTATATCAGTATGTAGTGTCTCTCATGTCTCCATGCTTTAATGTTCAAAAGTTCTTTATTGTTCTCATACTGCCTGTGCTGCAGCACCTCTTTTCACCCTCTGTCTGAAACCAGAGCCCAGTCTGCTCTGATTGGTTAGCTGGCCGGCTCTGTTGTGATTGGTCAACCGCTTACAAACCCGCCACTTAGCCTATCACGTACAATGTGTTGGAGCGCTAGTCAATATGAGCATGAGTGTTACATAGTGATGTCACTAGGAAGTAAACAAAGGAGTCCAATGGTCAGATGTATTTTCTCCACTGCAGACTTTATTGCTTTTGTCCTGTTTATGAAATGCACAAAATCAGATATGTACAAACTGTTGAAGATAAGTTATCCTCTTCCTCACCAGAAAGCCTCTCAGAAATGTTTGGATTTATAATCACTCATAACAGGTCCCATTAAGCACTTTTATTTTGTACATTTTTAACGTAATATAACACGTTTTTCCCCCTTAGTGAGTTGATAGGGAAGTTCCCAACGATTCTACCAGACAAACTCCAGGCGTAAAAACATTTCCGAGCAACGGGATACATCTGATTTATGAGTGTCAAATATATATTGCTTTTAATAACCTGTACTCGTCCGGCAGAAGAGAGACGTCAGTCCATAAAACAAGGCATTACCAGAGAGAGGAATATCCAGAAAAAGGGAAACAGAGAGAAATGCAAACTTAGTGTATTTTTATGAAGTGTGTTTTAGGTTCCAGTAGCTTATTATTTTTCATTACACACACACACACACACACACACATTCCTGACATACAGTAATGCCAAGAGCACCATCTTTAAATAAAGACGTGTTTCATATCAAAACTTAAATATCTGTCAAAGTTTTGGTGGATTGTCTCATAAAGGATATGTCATAAAAAAAGAATTGCACACTTTCTGTTTAATGTCAAAGTGTCGCTTCAGTTTTACGAGGCGTTCAAAGCAAGAGGAAAAAATAGTCACGTAGTATTTCATACAGAAAGTAATTAGAAGAAGCTGCCTGTCACTTCCTCCCGCAGAGTGAAGTGACTGGTGTAGAAAAGAAATGCTGCGTTTTATTTGAATATAAAAAAAAAAAAGGCACAATGTCCGTGTGTTTTTGAGCACTTCAAAACAGACGTGCGTTTTCTTCATGGAGTGTTTTTCAGTCATCACTTCCTGTCTGATATATTTGGATCCAGCGAAGGCACACATGTGTTTGGTAAGGAGGCTCCGAGGAGTCCATCGTCTTTTCAAAGTGAAACTGTGACCGCTCCCAAACGGCTGAGACCTCAGAGAGGCGTGGTGTCCCCGCTCTCACGCTCTCACACACACACACACTCACACACACACACACACACACACACACACACACTCACACACACTGGGGTCACATGTTCCCGCTGTAGTTCTTCTGCTGGTACCAGGTCTGCCTCTGTTTGCGGGCGTCCAGCTCCGATAGCAGCGCCTGCCGGTAGGCCTCGTAGGATTTGACGATGTGCTCCAGCTCCTTCATGAAGAGCAGCTTCAGCATCCCCTGGTACGTGTCCAGGTCCGCCAGCTGGAACAGCTCCCACTTCAGGATGTGGTCGTACCTGAGGGAGAAGAAGATATTCAGGGTCCTTTGAGAAGTGAAGGGTTGGATCACAAAGCCTGCTCGCTCTAACGGCCCGTCCACACACAGGCATGAAAAAAATCTTGATGCTGGGCGTGTCTGAAGCTTGGCGATTTTTTGCGAGCAACGCGACCAACAACCAATCACATGAATGTCCCGCCCCCGACATACAAAGCAATAGCAATGTTAAAACGAAGTAAACTGGATATAAACTCCCCAAACAGGTGAAAACCTACCAGTTTCACCCACTGTCTCTGCCACCTCCCTCCATGCCTGGTTCCTCCGGTTTGTATCCCGGTAAATAGTTCTGGTCGTAAAGAACCGGCTGATTTGCTACCGTAATTTCTCGTTTGGAATATGAGGAAATGAACTGCGGTCTGGCTCTCCCAGCTTGCACGCGGTTTGATTGGCTAGCGCTTGTACTGGCGGGATTTGCATAAACGGGATTTGATTGGCTGATGCCAGCTTCGAAAGCATCGGGAGCATCAAAAGTTGAACATTGCAACTTTTGATGCTCACAATGCTTGCAAAGCCATGCTCCGCTCCCCACGATGCAGTTCGGCGAAGATTAAAAATCTTCTACGTCACCCCATTCAAGTGAATGGGCGAAGCTTTGAAAGATTTTTTTCATGCCTGTGAGTGGAGGATAACACTGAAAATTGGGAGTTTAAAAATCAGATAAATCCGTTTAAAGACAGAATATCAGTCTCAGGTCATTGTAATGTGCATTTTTCCACATTTCCTGGATCAAACTTTAACAACTGTTGCAGAAGGTTATTATGTGTGCTGTCAGTACTCACTTGAGTGGAGCGCGGGCGTACACCTGCAGCCAGTCCGGTATCTCTGCCGTGTGGTACGGGTTCGCAGGGACGAGCACCTGCTGGTTCCTCTCCTCTGGGCGAGGCTGGTAGGCGACCGGGGGGGGCAGAGGGGGGGGCTGGTCGTAGCGAGGAACACTGAAACACACACACAGGGAATACAGTCGTTATGAGGGGTGTTTTAAAAGCCAGCTTTAAGTTGTAAAAGGTCAAATACTATTGCAACCACTTCTGTAGTTCAAGGAACATGAAAGACTACAATTCCCAGTCTGCCAGTATATTAAGAGCAACAGGTATGTGTGTTCAGAAAACACAGACGAGACCCAGCTCTGATCCGTTTATCATTAGAAAAACAAGTCTATCTAGGTGTGCTAATTTTATCCGACTTTAGCCTCTTTTGTTTTGACTCTTCTTTGTTGAATTTGTGTGAAAACAAGTTATATTTCCTTTGAATAAGCCACACGATCCAAAGCATCAATCCAAAGAAACGAGTTGGAAATGTGTTGTTTTTAAAGCGTCTAAAGCAGTGGTTCCCAAAGTGTGGGGCCCAGAGGCAAGACAAGGAGAGACCAGGAGGAAAAATGGTTATTAAAGAAAGAAAGAAAAAAAAAAGAAAAAAATCATAATTTGAAAGATTATTGATTCGAAAATAATATGATGCAGTACTATTACGTCTGGGTCTCTGTGTTTCATTAAAGCTCGGCTCTGTGTGTGTGTGTGAAACGAGCCATTTTGTGTGCGAGTGAGAGAGAGCGCACCGGTACCGGAGATCGTTGTTGTTAGCTTCTGGTGCTAGCGAGCTACGCTAACGGATATAAGGAGTTTTTTCAACAACAAAGTGGAGGAGAGTCCTCTCCTGTCAGACTGAGAGACTCAGTGAGCTAAAGGACTCTCTCAGTGTTATCTCAGTGGGTCTCAAACCTTTTGGTCACCATTAATGTAAACAATTATTTCCGAGGCCCCACGTTTATATGATCATTATAGTGATAAAAAAATAAGAGAATAAATTAAAAACAGGTATGAAATACTATATGACATTAAAAAAAGAATAAAGTTTAAAAGGGAGTGATTTGTAAAATATCCATAAAGAAAAAGAAAATCTGTTCCCAGTTCTGTTTCATATGGGTGTTGAGAGATTTATCCATAGATCTCTTCATTTTGCTCTCAAAGTGCACCAGATTGATGCATTCAACTTCAATATTAAAAAATAAATGGGAACCTTGCCCCCGGACCCCCCTATGTGAGGTCCACACACCACCTATAAAAATAGCACTTGACCCTGCTTACACCTCTATGCGGTGAGCTGATTATCGAGCCTTCATTGTAACAGTCACACTGTGTATTTGCGTGGGGAGTGTTGCAGTAGAAAATTCGACTGTAGCGCCCGGTACATTAATGGGAAACCCTAAATGTTTGAGCACCCTCTATGAAACGTCAAGCTACCCCACAGCACCCCCAAAATAAGTCTCTGGCGCCGCCACTGAGCCTGACTATTTGTGTTGGGGCGGGGCCCGACTTTTTTTTTTCTCCAAAGGGGGGGCCTGACAGAAAACGTTTGGGAACCACTGGTCTAAAGGGACTTACAGAAGCTCAATGAAGGAAGACGCAGAAGTTGGTATAGTTCCTAATTTGGTCCTAGTGGATTTAAAAAAT